TCCTGCGCTCGTTTCCCTTGCAGGAACAAGAACTTCATGATCACGCTCTTGTCGACGTTGCTGAATTCCGGTCTTGACGCCGCCATCATGAGTTCAAACTGCCGAAGGAAGCAAACTAACGGTCGTAACGGACTCTCATGGCGTGTGCGCTCTAGCGATGACCTCCCCTCCCTACATCCCTCGTGGCGCGGCATTTGCTTTCTTGCGTCTGGGTAAAGTCGCGAACTTTTCAGCACCCCTCCGTAAATAAATGTTTCGAAGATTTGCCGTTATAGTGAGCAACAGACAATTTTTGACAATCCATCGCGCGCTTGTGAGAAAACGTCCGCGAGAAACAAACAGAGTATGGGTTAAAAGTCAGAAAGCATATCAGTGCCTCTCTATTATGGCAGGGTGCAGCAAGATTTTCCGATAAAACTAAGTTTGTGGAGGCTCTTCCCAGAAAAGTACGTTGCGAAACGAATGGTTGATGAATGTAACTAGCATCACTTCCTTTTCAAGGATGCATTCCTATTTGTTTTAGAAAAAATATTCTGAAAGAAACAGGCACTGTTGTGGATCAACTAACATCATAAAACATCTCATACTCACCAATGGCGAATTCCCTCAATTTGGGAGTCGCCCATCCGTCGAACTCCACACTCGTGATCGAATTGTTATCAAGGCGAAGTATTTCTAGGCTGTCGCTTTCGAAGGCCGGCACAGAGGTCAACAAATTGTTGTGGAGATAGAGTTCTCTCAATTTAGGAGTCGCCCATCCGTGGAACTCCACACTCGTGATCTTATTGTCTCTAAGACTGAGTATTTCTAGGCTGTCGCTTTTGAAGGCCGGCACAGAGGTCAACAAATTGTTGTACAATCGCCCATCCGTCGAACTCCACACTCGTGATCGTATTGTTATCAAGGCGAAGTATTTCTAGGCCGTCGATTTTGAAGGCCGGCACAGAGGTCAACAAATTGTTCTCTAGATAGAGTTCTCTCAATTTGGGATTCGCCCATCCGTCGAACTCCACACTCGTGATCGTATTGTCTCTAAGACTGAGTATTTCTAGGCTGTTGCTTTTGAAGGCCGGCACAGAGGTCAACAAATTGTTGTACAGCCAGAGTTCTCTCAATTTGGGAGTCGCCCATCCGTCGAACTCCACACTCGTGATCGTATTGTTATCAAGGCGAAGTATTTCTAGGCTGTCGCTTTTGAAGGCCGGCACAGAGGTCAACAAATTGTTCTCTAGATAGAGTTCTCTCAATTTGGGAGTCGCCCATCCGTCGAACTCCACACTCGTGATCTTATTGTCTCTAAGACTGAGTATTTCTAGGCTGTCGCTTTTGAAGGCCGGCACAGAGGTCAACAAATTCTTGTGCAGCCAGAGTTGTTTCAGGTGTTGGAATACATGAAGAATATGAAATGGAAAGCTCTTCAGAAGACTATTGTAAATACCAAGATCTGCGTTGAAGTGTTTTAAAGGGAGCATGGCTGACGAGTGGACCTTCTTGACTGCAGTGTTGTTTATCCTTATCTGCTGGAAGGAAAGAACCCCAAAGAATCCTTCCGGGAGCTCCACTACTTCTGTATTGTCTTCAATGAGGAATCGCCTGTGTGGAGAAAGACCATGGTGCATAGGTCAACATTCTACTTCTGAATGAATTGGTAGTTGTTTATTAATTAGCAATGTAAAAAATATTCTAAAATTTTTTGATTCTTTGTAAAAATTTTTAAAAAGAAGATATAAAACTGGAATTTCCCAAATCGTTTAGAGAAATTTCTTGCATTTCCACGGAAATCCCATTTCGTTTTTTTTCGGCCTTTTCCTCACGTTTACGTTGACCGCAAAGGGTTAACATTTTGAAATGTCAAGCCTTTGTGGTCATATTTATTTTCCACTTGTTATCCCTTCAGGTCATATTTAATTTCAATGAAAAAAGCTAAAAATAAATTACACAGAGGTCAACAAATTGTTGTGGAGATAGAGTTCTCTCAATTTGGGAGTCGCCCATCCGTCGAACTCCACACTCGTGATCTCATTGTCTCTAAGATTGAGTATTTCTAGGCTGTCGCTTTTGAAGGCCGGCACAGAGGTCAACAAATTGTTGTACAGCCAGAGTTCTTTCAGGTGTTGGAATTCATGAAGAATATGAAATGGAAAGTTCTTCAGAAGACTATTGTAAATACCAAGATCTGTGTGGAAGTGTTTTAAAGGGAGCATGGCTGAGGGGTGGACCTCCTTGACTGCAGTGTTGTCTATCGTTATCTGCTGGAAGGAAAGAACCCCAAAGAATCCTTCCCGGAGTTCCACTACTTCCGTATTGTGTTTAGTGAGGAATCGCCTGTTTGGAGAAAGACCATGGTGCATAGGTCAACATTCTTCTTCTGAATGATTAGGTAGTTCTTTATTCATTAGCAATGCAAAAAAATGTTTTTAATTTTTCTCATTCTTCTTCGTAAAAATTTTGGACCTAGAGCACATGAAACGGGAATTTCCCTTATCGTCGGGAGGATTTTCTGATATTTGCACAGAAATCCTATTTCGTTTTCTTTTTGGCATTTTTCTTCCTTCTTTTTGAAGTTTAAAGCTTACGGAGGCTACTTTTTAATTCAGCTCTTTAAGCGAACGATCGTTTTCCTCATTCGCTTCGGAAAAGCTTGTTTTGAATACTTTACGTGAAATCCTTATAATCAAATACGCCTTGTCATATTGATTTCTTGAAGTAGCTACTCATACCTTTAACTACAGACCTGCATGGCAATGCACTCCGTTTTCTGTCAAAATTTCCCATAAACATGGTTTGATGATGATTCGGGAAACTGTGTTTGGATCTCGAATGAGAAAAGCCATTGTGACTCTTTTTCCCTACTTTCAGATTCTGGAAAAATGAAGAGAATGTCTACTTCTTCATCCCGTCAGGAGAAGATCTACTCCGAAGCGATGTAGCTCTGGTGCACGTACATCATCTACTTGTCATGGGAGCGGGGCCTAACTTATCCGGTCAAATTAATAAAATGTTGGAAGCGTTCCTCCTCCTCTTGAATTATTCATTTAAGAAAACGGACTTAAAAAATGATATTACTTCTGCAGTATCTCGATTGAAAATAATACAACTTCAAGTAATGAAAGCAATACAGGTATCTCAGCATCAGACATGAAGTCCAATCGGTGGAATTTACAGGACAATGAGAGGGCGGAATCCCGACATTTTCTCAACAGTATGTTTCCTTAGGGACATGGACTCCGCTCCCCGAACGGGTTTGCCTTTCTGCGCATTAGACGCCAACAGTGTTTCCTACTCTTATGGGTAACTTTTCGAAAAATAAGTGAAGTACAGGTATATATGAAATTTCGCAATTACTTCAAGTATTCTTTGTAAATCCGAATGAATGGTTTTCTTGGAAATATAGCGTGAGTATCAAGTGGCATCTACAACGACATATTTAGGGATGCTAAGGTTCAAGGAGACCCCAGTGAGAAGATTCTTGGCACAGCCCCAAACCTCCTTTGTGAACAGAGACCTGTTGATTTTTTTTATTTAATGGACCTATGTTGGAAACACAACATTCAAGCTTATGAACTTTTCATGAAAAATCCACAAGGTGATGGAGACTTTTTCGTATTGACATATAGGGAAGAAACGTAACCCGTTGATTTTCCGACCCAAAACGTAGAGGCCTCCTACTCGCCCCTCGAATCCCTACTAATAGGACATCATGATGCTTCTTCGAGAAGCAGAGTTTCGACTCCAAAGGACATTCCGCAAGTATTTCCGTACACTGTAACAAATTATTTCAGGAAATTCTACTAAAGAATAGGAAACAGCGTTTCCGTCTTATGCCGGGAAAAGGGGATTATGATTCATAAGGGAAACCAAGTCTATTTTTCCACGTAAACATGCTCATACCGAAAAAACCTCGAATGGAACCCTCCGACTAAAGCATGTAATGGAGCACCCCCCGCATTATCCAGAAAATTCAATTTCATAGTCAGAATTGAGTTTCCGCTGAAGGATGTAATTTTCTGTCTTATTCGGGGTTTCCTTAATTCCGTTCATTACACAAAAACTCTTCCTTTCCATTCGAAACTCAGGATGATAATTGTATTTTCATGACCATTTCGCGACCTGGCTCATTAATCCGTATGTTATTGGTGCATCCCTATTACATGAATGCTGTATTCTGCTGTAACTAAGCTATAACTATTCACTTATTGGATTATTCAATACCTCCTTTTAATCGCTGTGGGGATGGTCCGTCGCTCATTCTCTCCGCTCTCTCTCCTGGAAGAGAAAGTGTGAGGAGAGGGAGAGGGAGTTCAGTAGCTCATTTACTTTCCTTTGTCCGTGAGGTGTAGACCCTGACAGCCGGGAAATGTAGATAATGTTGAAGCAGCGCGTGCATCGGTTCAGAGCTGTTCCTTTCCTGATGGTGAGAAGTAGTAATGACCTTTTTTCCCCTGTATCCGATTGGGAAATACTCCAGAAATTACCTTTCTTCTCAAGAGTGAAATTTATACGTTTTCAGAAGTATTTTAACCCTTTTAAACCTGGCGTCCATTCCAGTGAACATTGCATTTACATTGTGTCTATGGCAATTTCTTAGGAATCTCGTGCCTTTGCGCTCCATATTACGCTGAAATGGGCGCAATTATTCATGGTTCAGTTTCATCAGAGGCCTTTTTCACCCATTAGTGTTGTAATCTTTAGTTTTTATTTAAATGTATAATATCTAACACATGGTATGCTATGGTAAATTTATACAATATATAAAAAACCCACATATAAATCATTAAAATTTCAATTACAATCACGAAAGAGCTCAAAAATGAGAAAAATAATCTTATTCCGATAGCGGCCTTAATTCCGGCCTGAAAGGGTTAATGCGACAATTAAGGGGATGTCGGAGGCTAGTGGGAGTCATCTACCATTCAGGCTGGAAACTAAAGGAAACGGGTGGCCTCCCGAAGGTGTCACTAAGAAAAGGACCGGACGAGCACAATATTCAAAAGTATTTGTTCCCGACGCGTTAAGGATCGTTCGCTTCAACATCGGACTGAGAATTTTGGTTCCGTAGCCACTTCATTTCATGGAGTATAAGGGAAAATTCTCGCAAGGAAGACGAAGTGGAATTTCTGAAAAAAGGCAGGAAAGGCATTTCCTTAGGATAAAGGGGAATACTGGCTCACATGTTCCTAGAAATTTTCACGACAAAGAATAGAAAATTTCCGAGTATTTTTTACCTTTTGTTTGCAATTCTAAGGCAACGGGATAGTTCCAGTTCCTAATATTTAAAAGCGGCCTGCTCATCTTCAGGATCGCATCGACCATTTAGGGGAAATATCCTGTTTCTTCTCTAGAGAATGAAGGATATCTATTTAATATTGAAATAAACATTTTCTCTATTCATACTACCAACATGACTTATATCTAGCGACGATGACAAACGTGCATTCAATTTTCGGGACTCCCTTTGGAATCGAAATCCTTGGGTACGGTCAACCTAGCCGTTCTCTCTCGTGGAGAAAAAAAATACTTTGTTGAGAGTAGGAGTAGGAACCACGCCGTCGACTTATTGCAAGGCTGTCTCGAACACTAGCGTTTGATGCAAAGGGAGGGGACAAAAAACAATTATTGCTCACCAGAGTTGAGTGGAGGGCCATGAGGCCTTCGTCAGAGCCGAGGAAATCTCAGCAGCAGAGCTTGCACTCGAACAATCCATGGTCACATCGCCATCCGAATATTTGGTGCACGTACAGGGTGATATGTCTTCGGTGGGGCATATTTGTTCCATTATCGCAAACACAAATGAGGGAAAGAAAATGAAAAGGACGACCAATAATGGATTCATGATGTGATTGGCAATCGGAAAACGGCAGGAAGAGGCCCGTTGTGTTGAGTATCCTTTGAGGTCTGTTTTTTTGGGCGGTAGAATTTGATCGATGTAGGTGTGAAAAGTAATCCTGTTGGATCAGAAAGATACTGATGCACATGCAGGGAAGAATGAGAATGGAAGTATCGATGCATTTATTTTAAAGAATGTGATGCTAATATGAGACATATGCAAACTCATGCTACATCATTCTCAAATTCAACCGCTAACATACTAATATTACCTGATTATTCGAAAATATGATACCTCCATGAAGCCGCAAAATAATCAACAGTTCAACCTGCTTTACACATGAAGCTATAATCTTAAAGAAATTTCGAAGTGTCAGTGAAGGGGAGAACTTTAGGGCACATCACGGAAAATACTTAACTAACGGACAGTTGGAACATATTTTCAGGCAACATCCACAGATGCGGCAGAGCTATGGTTCCTTTTTTCAGACTTGAGAAAAATCTATGACCTTGTGATACCACGCCTCAGTTTCAATGGTGTGTTCTTGTCTGGGATGAACGAGTAATTAGTGATAGGAATCCGTATTTAACTGTCTTCATTCCATTTTATTGTTCTTTCTATTCTTTTCTATCTAGAAAGGAGATGGAATCTACATATTCTGACTTTCTTTCCCTCCCTTCCGAGATGCCCCAGCAGACATGCCCAGTAGCGGAGGAATGCACGGCCACTCGTTGTTTGAGACACAAGCAAAACTTCATGGAATTTCGTCTTGAGATACAAGCGCAGCTTTAATTCTCTCTTCCGCTCTCATTTCTGTAATACCCGCGATGAATAAGTGTCTCTAATTGATATAAGCTTACCAGCCGAAATAATTAAAACGATCTCTGCTTTCCATCTTAATTGGTTGCCGGAAACTGCGAGATCAGGAGGAGAGATCAGAATCAGGAAAAAGTGTATTATTATGAGCATTGCCCAGTCAGCAATATGTCCCCGCGCCAAATATGGCTTATGTCCGAGCTTGAGCTTATCTAAAAGCTGGGACCAAGTACATCATCTCACACATGTATCCATGGGCCATGGGTGGCATGTGCATCGGCAGTAGCGAAAATGTCCGCGTTATCTGTGGCACCCTCATCGGTGGCCCAAGTGTGGCTTAAGCCCGTCGTATTCGAGGCAATTTTTGTCGGGCCACCTTCGCATTTGAGCCCCCGGGGGCACATAGAAGAATATGCAAGCGATGTGATTGGTCGATGCTAGAATTAGTCTGGCCTACATCGCAAGAATATCGCAGGACCCCCGCACATGGAGCGAAATCATGTGGAGCGACGGTCGAACGACAAAGATTGCCTCGAATGCGGCGGGCTTCAGGCATGGGGCACGTTATTGACGATAATGAGCAGGCCGGGCCACTCTGTAAATTTTCGCTATTTCTGCGGTAACTAGCGCTAGATGGTGGAAACATTTCTGTCTACAGTACTGGTACCGCTGGTACTGGCGTATCCCTACCCACGCATGCGTCCGAACCATGGATAGATAGGAAGCATAGGATAATACAGGAATTGATATACCTCTGAAACGTACTCATTATAGTGCGCTTCTGAGTAAGGTTCATCCCTTTATGCCATATGGCATATCCACAAATTCAATCTCTAATTTCCTCATACCGACTTCAGTACGAAGATATGATGGACTGAATACGTGAACACCATCATTGTTCTAAACCTCTTTTCAGATGAGGGTACCCTAAATATATGAACAGTTCTTATCGTAAATATGAGCTTGTATATCGCCTGGACTCCATGAATCTGTCTCGAAAATGGCGATGAAAAATGTTGAAATGTCCATGTTTATTGATTCTCATGATGAGACTAGGCGAGACATATGGTGATGGATCAGATTCACTTGCATCGTGGAGCGGCGAAGCGAAAGCATTGCGGATTTGCTTGCCCTTTGGTGGTGAAATCGCCAGAAAATAAAAGGAAGGTACCTTTCATGAAGTAAGAGAAATCCTCCTGGATATTGATGAAGTTGAGGCAGCCACTATTGGCGATTAATGGGATATACGCACGGAATATATAGTCGGGAAATACTCAGCTTTGATCCCCCAAGTGACACTGGAACTACGCAGCGAGAAGCCGAGAAGAGAGCATTCCCTATTGGACTCTCTCCCCGCGGGCGATGTTAGTCAGTTCCCTCCCCTGCGCATTCCTTTTCCCTACCTCGTCCATTCTTTCTCAGCTCGTGGGGTGAATAGTCAAGTAGAAGGAAAGACTCGGAATGAGTCCCTTGAAGGCCGAATCGACTGTGAGAAGAGCCGGTACTTCGGTACCTAGAAGGCTATGAAACGTGTTGCCATGAAATGGAACGTTGCGATTCGCTTCATGAAACTAAACAGCATATGAACCTGGATTTACCCTAATCAGGGTGCTCAACTGTTTGGTGGGAAGGTCCACTTAACTCATGTCCCACCTGTCTCGCGGTCCGGAAGTAAAATTTCTGCGCTAGATATGGCCTTCATTATCAGATAATGTCGCATTTAGGTTAATTTTTTGGGAATAACTCGTCAAGAAATAGGAAGATCGGTGAGGTGGGAGGGGATGCGGTTGCGAGTCAAATGAGGAGATATCTTCCAGCATAAAGGAATGGAGGCATTTGGAACTTCTTTCCTGCTTCGAGACTTCATTATTGTTCCCTGGCAACACAGGAAAGGGGCAGGGGAAAGAAGCCAGAAAAGCTCAGAAATAGGGAGATCAGCACCTGACAGAAACAGGAATCATTGAGATGACAGAAATTCATATTTCGGAGCCGTCTGGGAAATCCCGGACAAATAGTAATCTCAGTCTGCGGAGCGGACAATGTGAGCTTGCGGTCCGGATCCGGACCGCGGTCCGCAGGCTGGGCAGCGCTGACACTAATGTTTTGAAAAAATGCCTGTAATTCGGTAATCCCACTTCGTTTCTTTTTGGGAACCTTTTTCTCCTTCGTAAAATATTACTTCTCCGTAAAACACTCAAGAGTGGGTTAACCAGATGGGCGAGGAAAAAATGAATAAATTTGACGTTTTCAAAAAGTGAAATGAGATTTTCTCCACTATCACAGGCTGATGTAGCTTATAATCTGCTGGAGCGATTTTGTGAGTGGAAAGGAAGAAACATTCCAATTTCGAAGCTGTTGATGCTTTCTGAGAGGAATGCAAGGAGGTTGAATTTTTTAACGGAAGGGGTTTAAGAAAATTAATAGGCGCAACCGAGGCCTTCTCTCCATCTCCCTCAGCATCCCCTCACAGTTTCTCTTTAAAAAGACAGAGGTGCGAGAATGAGTCGTCATCTTTTTCGAAACCGATGAGAAGGAAGCACTGTATAGACACGTCAGTGAATAGCTATTGCATGTTTTTCATGATGATGCAAGCACCAATAGATCAAAGAAACCTTGCAGTATTTCGCGGAGAAATACGTTTTCGACTAATGAATAATAAATTAAGGATTATTAAAAAGAAACGGAAAATCTCAAAGGAAGAAATGAAAATTCTCTGCATTAACCGAAAACCGATTTCGACTATGCATGAAAATTTACTGGGCAATGAGTGGAAAGGTTCTGCTAAGTGAGAGAGGAGGAGACATGGTTCAGGCAAATTATCAGAATTTTTTTTTCGCGCAAAAAAGGCAAACTCTTACATTTTTAACCGAATTTATTAATTTTTTTTTACAGTGTTCTGGAGACCGGAGATGATATAATGTTTCAGAAACAGTGGAAACTCCTTTCTTTCCATGAATCTGAGTCCGTCATTCGTCTGCTGGACTCCTTTTTCCATGAGCCTTCATGTGTGCGAAAGTATGTGTGCTCAACGCGCTCTATAGTGTGGCGTGTTAGGATCGGCCTTGAGGAAGGAGGCCTGAAGGGATGACGGGGAGGATTTATTACGTGGGAATAAACATGCCAAGGCCGCGGAGTGAGCTATAGAAGGATGCCATCCAGTGGGTGCATTCAGTTGTGACCTAGGTCATGACTCGAGATTCATGATTCTTGGTACTTTACAAAAGCTATTATGCCTAGGATTGATCATATTAACAAGTGTCACCCAGGAAGCCTCGATGCAAGCATTGAACCTTCGAGTCATGACTCAGGTCATAATTGAATGCGCCTAGTATTTCCGAAAGCCCTGCGGGCTTCCGAAGCGTTCGGGTATGCGTCCACGAAGCGATGAAGACAGAGATGGCATCCAGAGTTGACAAAAGCCCTGCGGGCTCCCGGAACGGTCGGGTATGGGCCCGTGGATCGGTAGCGTCGTGAGCGAACTAAGTATTTACTTCTGATACTCAATCCGAGCTTTCTTTTTACGTCCATAGCTCCTTCTATGGAGCTTCTGGGAAACGAGGTCATTTTCAAGTACTAAGTTATTGCACACTAGTGTAAAAGCCCATGCGCGCACGAGCTGAAATAAGTGGAATAAAAACATTTCGTGCATGACTTTCTGCTCTTTCTTCGTGAGTTTCACTGTTTCTGGAAGCAGCCTGCGTAGCAGCCTTTTTGTGAACTTCTCCATGCACGCAATTCCACCGACTGTGACTCCAGAGCTTCTGTTTTTCTCTTACGTTCAGTAGATCCCGCAGCAGAAAAATTTAAACTACCCCACATTTTCGGGCCATATTGAGAACGGCAAAATGTATAAAATAATAACATCAGTGCACCAACTAAATGCTGCAGACATACGTGAAGCACTGTCTTAAATCGGCGACGGGACAAACTATGACATATGATCATTGCCAGGAGTTACAATTGCAACAGCATCCGTTGCCCACATTACCTCATACTCTCATTGTTGGTTGTGAGCACTTCGCCCGAGAAGGAATTCCGTACAATGCTATTCTCATCGCTGA